TATTTCAGAAGCTGTGGGTTCAAGACTCATTCCAAAAGGGTTGGAACTTTAACCTCCAGTAACTGGAGTAACTGATAACTGAACATTTTTAGGATTAATGTAAAGGAGAAGTGTGTAAATGACAGAAAAGACTAACTTGCTAACAGCTTCAATATGTGCGCTTGGAGAAAAATGGAAAGCATCAGTTTGCTAAAATAAGTAGCAAATTAATGTGAACCAAACACAGTAGAACACATCTCAACAGAAAATAGACTTTTTTATTCACTCACAGGATGTGTTGCCCATCCCTAACTGACCAGAGGACAGTTAAGAGTTTTCTGAAGAAGGGTCCAACCCAAAACGTCAACTTTCCTGCTCCTCCGATACTGCTTGGCCTGCTGTGTTCCTCCGGATCCACACTGTGCTGTCTGATTCCAGCATGTGCAGTTCTTGCTATCTCGGAGTCAACCACATTGCTGTGGGTCTGGAGTCACATGAAGGCCAGACCACATAAGGAAGGCAGATTTTCTTCTGGAAAAGACATTAGTGAACCAGATTGGTTCATGGTCATCATTACACTCTTAATTCCCAGATTTTTATTGATTTCAGATTCCACCATCTGCCATGGCAGAATTTGAACCCGGGTACCCAGAACATGAGGTGAGTTTCTGGATTAATAATCTAAACAATAATACTTGCCTCTCCATTGTAAGAGGCAAAATGAAGGGAGGATTTCAAAGAAGAAGATGACAACAAAGGAAGAGAATATTAATGTTGGATCGCTTAAATATTAAAGTAAGTTATCAGCAATTGAAAATACCAACACAGAAGAGGGGCGTAGAAAGATTACCAAGCCCTGCCTTCAGGTACGGTATACCTGATAAAGTGGAGTGTAAAATTATACATTTTGGCAGGAGGACAAGGAAAAACAAATATGATTATCTAGAGCAAAAGCATATTGGAAGCAAATACAATAGCCACATTCAAGAAAAAGAACTGGATGAAAATACAAAGAGAAAAGAGCAGAGGTCTAATGCAATATTTCTAGCAAAGGGTGGCAGAGACTCAACATGCTGAAGTCCATCCCTCTGTGCTGTATAATCCAATTATTCTAAGTAGGCAGTTATTCAGAGGAATGATGGTAGCCTGGGTCTAAGTGATAGCATCCAAAGTAAAGGAAAGGTGCAGATGGAAAGAGAAAATTCTAAAGAACAAGAACGAAACAGCAAGGATACAGGCGCATTGTTCAAGGTAGTACAGTTAGTGTGGAGAAAGGATAGGTAAGAAAACAGACAACTATTTCTAATTTAATGCATTATAGGACAGGAACAGTGTATTAATAAGAAAGGGCAATGATGGTGAAATGTGAAGAAAAGGATACTTGTGACACACGGTGCAAGAAATACTTTTCATCCGAGGGCTCCTTCTGAAATTTTCTGAAGGGCTACATCTTGGTTTTTAGCGGGCAGATATTTAATTGAAATTGGGTACTTCTTCTGTAAAGACCATCTTTTGCATTTACCTATATTTTTGATTGCGGGTTGAAATGGCAACTGGACAAATTTTAAAAACTAACGAATGTGGAAGGCATTGCCGCACTTGTTGAAAACAAGGTACTAATACTTATTGCAAATGCTCTTTACACCATTGCTGGAGGTTACTGCAGATGATTTGGAGCCTGAGGGGACTCTCAAAGAGATTTGGCTGACAGGCTGCTGACCGAAAGCCAGTCATCACTCCACAGACCAATGGCAAAGGCCTTCTGCCTGCCAACAACAATGTGATTGGCTCCCAAGTAAGGAACAGTTCCTGGGTGTGAACAAGATAGCCAGAAACCTTCAGACTGCTAAGCGGAGAAGAGGTGGTGTCTTCATCTATGCACTAAAATACACGTGAAATCTGAACAAAGCCAGTTTATTTTCTATCACCCATTACTGTAAATTCTTGCTTTCAATCTACAAGTCAGAGACTTTACAAGTTGTGAACCAGTCATTCTGTGCCTCCTGCAAACAAGGCAAAGTATCTGGAGAACAGAGATCAAGGAGCAATGAGTCCTGGCAAGCCAAAAGGATCATCTCAGTGAACCTCAACGACGAGGTATTTCCACCATGCAGAATATCACTTTTTTTTCTGGATCTGTATGTGTGTAAGGGGACCTTTGTAAGGGGGTTAGATTTTTTAACTAAGAGAGTGATATATCAAAAGTGTCGTTTACTTGTAATTACTTTATTTATTTATAACAAACTATAATTCTTAAGTACAGAAATTTAGTCAATCCTGTTAAACTGGGTCTAACACGGATAAATTGGAGAATTTTGCATACTTTCATGATGACACAGAGGACAGCAGGACTCGCTTTCTAATACATTACCCCACCGAGACTTGATAGAGTTCAGTGACTCAATAATGTTCAATTTTGAAACAGATGGAACTGTGATATTAGAAGTAACACAGATAAAGGAAAATGCCACGTTCTGTAATACATTTAAGACATGGTGTTGGAAACAGAAAAGGATTTCTTGCAGGTGGCAGTGTTGAGTCTTCAGGGAACATTCAAAATCCAGGTTGATTGAATTGGGAAGTAAACTGGCACTGGCCTTGCCTGGCAGAGATAAGAAGGAAATATAATTAAGGCATTGGCACAGCATTTGGCTTTACAGAAAGTAGAAGAGATACCAGGGACTCCAGTTAGTGAAACATAGGAATCAGATGCTAATCAGTCACTGTTAAATCAGTTTCAGCTTAAGGAAGAAAAGAAGAAGAAACTAAACATGTCATTCCCAAGGGAAGAAAGAGCAGAGAAAAACAAGGACAGGGAAATGGAAATGAAAAGAATAGACATAAGAGAGAGAAAGCAAAGGGAATATGAACACAGTTAAAATTATGCATATGAAACAGGAGATGTCAGATACTGATGCAGGTCCTAATCAGAATTTAAAGTCCATCAAGGAAACATTTCAGTTTGCACGGGCCCTTCCCAAATTTGAGGAAAAGGATATGAAGGCAGTCTTAGATAATTTGAGAAAATACCAAGACAAATGCATTGAGCAAAGTGGAGTGGACACTGTTCAATCAGAGCACGTTGACAGGTACAGCACAGGAAATTTACACTTTGCAGTTATTTTCTCAAGATTATGACGCTACACAAAAAAAAGACTACATTGGCTGCAAATGATTACTGCCTGAAGCACATAAGCAAAGGTTCTAGAATTTAAGATAACAGCACAGGCAAACCGACACTGAATTCATAAACATTAAGCCCTGAGGCGGCACGGTGGCTTAGTGGTTAGCGCTGTTGCCTCACAGCGCCAGGGACCCATGTTCGATTCCAGCCTTGGGCGACTGTGTGGAGTTTGCACATTCTCCCTGTGTCTGCGTGGGTTTCCTCCGGTTTCCTCCCACAGTCCAAAGATGTGCAGGGTAGGTGGATTGGCCATGCTAAATTGCCCATAGTGCCTAAGGATGTTTAGGTTAGGTGGGTTAGACATGAGAAATCAGGGGTAGGTGGAATGGGTCTGGTTGGGATGCTCTTCGGAGGGGTGGTGTGGACTTGTTGGGCTGAATGGCCTGTTTCCACACTGTAGGGATTCTATGATCAATTAACTTTGGCAAGCAGATACAAACATTAGAAGCTGAAACTACAAACTCTTAGTGAGATAATTCTTTGAGGAATTTAAAAACTCACTCCTTTCCTAATACAAACATATGTTGAGGACCAAAGGGTTGCAACTGCTAGACTGGCAGCGATAATGGCCAATAATTATGAGCTAATACATAAATCTATACTGTTCTTCCATCACCTTCAAATTCAAAAGGGATAGAAAACAGGAGCGTAAAAGGAAGTGAAGTATGAAGAATGGATAATTGAGAATGCCTCGAGGTCTCCACTACGTATCAGAAGCAAAATTATGGAGAGTGGAGATGTAAATAGGAAGCTGAGGTTTCCCCATTCTAAGAAGGTGGGACACATTCATTCAGAATGCTAGAATTTGCAAGGGAAATCCACAGAACTCACTTGAGTTTGTAGAAGAGTCAAAAAAGGAAACTCAAAGCAAAAAAAGACCACTGATCAGATTATGGCTTTAACTACAACCAAGAGACTTGAGGTAAACACAGCTGCGTGCAGATGTACATGGAAAGATAACTTGAGAGACATAAAGGATTTTTATTGAAGGGAAGATAATCCCTTTCTCTTCAAATGAAACATGCAAGCCCATGACTATACCAAAGGACATAGAGGCTACTCAAACTCTCTTTTGCTGGAGTGGATTAGTTTTCCCTCCAGAGTGTTCATTGAAAGCCAAAGTGTTGTCTGATGGGATAGGTGGAGAGTATATCCTGGTTCCATTGTACAAAGTCCAGTTAGAGTTTAACTTTTATCTAGACTAGTGGTAATCAGGGTGGTCAAGACATTACCTGTGGACAGAGTTGATTTATTCCTGACCAAATGATTTAGGAATGAAAACGAAAGCTTCGACAAAAGTCACAGAAAGTCTTACTGAACCAAAAGGAAACAAACAATTGCAAGAACAGATTCCAGGTATTTTTGCATCGTTGCAGTGACCAGAGCAATAGCTAAACAAAGTCCACCACCAGAGGTTATAATGATACAGCAACAGATATTAGTGTAGTTTAAACTCTATTTAAGAATGAGGATAATTCAAAGCACGTTTTTGACATGTCTTCGATAATTGAGGCTCAAGAAGCAAATCCAGAGTTAAATACATTAGAAATGGAGTTCTGAAGAAGTTGGGACATCCACACAGACCTGTAGATGAAGGCGGAATGGTTGTTCATCAAGCAGTGGTATCGCCCAGTTATCATAACAAAATATTTCAAGTAGCACATTAAATTCCTATGGCAAGACTTACAGAATACAGAAAACAAAGAGACTGATAAACAAACATATATAGCCAAGACTTCATATAGTGCAGTTCTGTAAAACATGGCATACATGACAGGTGGCAAGAAAACTTTAAAGTGTTACTAAACCAGCATCTTTGATGCCATACAAGTTTTTAAAGAACTGTTCAGACTAGTGTTAGTAGATTGCGTACGATCATCACGGAAGACAAAAGCAGGACATCAGAATATCCTTATAGTTATGGATTCGACAACCAAATTCCCAGAAGCTACTCCTTTAAAGACCAATACAGTTAAGGTATTCATGGACACGTTAACTAATTTTTTTAAACTCATTACAAACTTCGAATTAAGAAACTTAAAACCCTGATGAGGGTTCCATTGTCAAAACTTTTCAGGGGAATTTGGGTTTAAACAAGTGAAGTCAATGGAGAGCTTTGGAGAAGTACCATCAAAACCATGATTAAAGTATTCTGTCATGAATACCCACCAGATTGGGATAAAGTATTAAATTTCTTATTATTTGCTCCCAGAGATTCCCCAAATCAATCTACTGGGTTTATTCCATTTGAATTTATAAGATTAGAGGTCAATGAAACTAATTAAGGAGAAGTCCTTAAACCATAAAAGGTAGAATCCTCATCATTGATTTACACAACGGTGTTTCTAGAAATATTCATAGGAGCATATAGGGTAACAAGAATATTTGAAAGTTTCACAACCAAATATGAAAGAATGGGCAGATAAATATTCAGCAACTAGAATTTTTCAAGATGAATTGGTATTATTGCCTTTGCAAGGTGAACCTCTGAAAACAAAATCTAACGGTCTATGCAAAGTAGTTAGGAAAGTTAGTAAAGCAACTTATCTGATAAGTACTGATTGAAGGAAGACAAATCAGTAATGTCACATAAACATAATGAACATAATAAATTCATTCATTCACTCATTAAGAAGTATCATCATAAGGAAAATGACAAGGAGGATCAAATGTGTCAGATGGTCAGAGTAGTGGAAGTTGACAGAGACAATAAGAGTGAGGTGGAAGGAGAAATAGAAGTTCTCAAAGCAAACCTCCCACAATTTGACCAGCTAACAGAAATACTAGGGTAATTAGGCAGTGTTCTCATATTCAGATGGCGGACAACAGGAGGATTTTGTAAAACTACATAGCAAGTATAAGATAACCTGGATGTACTACATTAGCTACGTATGATGTGGACTTGGGAGAATCAGGACTAACAAAATAGCAGCCTAGCTGGGTGAAGCCAGAAGAACAAACTCAAGTAGAAACAGAGACAAGCTGGAAAGACATTGATGGATCAACTAGATTCTGCACAGATAGAGTCATGAAGACAGATTTCTACCCAATTCCACAGTTAGAAAACTCTGTTGATAAGGATTGGCAGCAGTCTTTTCTACGGTTGACTTATTGAAAGGAAACTGGCAAGTGCCAATAACATCAAGGGCTAAAGAAATTATCAGTTTTTGTTACACCAAATGGATTACATCATTGTTGAGTGATGTCATTTGATTTTAAAAAACTTCTGCTACATTTCACAGGTTCATGAATCAAGCTGTAGTTGAGGTTCAAAACTGCATACTCTATTTAGATGACATTGAGGTATATAGTAACATACCGAGAGAACATGAGACAAGTAGAACACCTGTTTGAACAATTACAGCTGGCTGGCTTAGTAATAAATTTAACCAAAAGTGTATTTGCGAAAACAACAGTATATTATGTATGGCATATTGTAGGACACAGACAAAGTGTTGCTGAGGACAACTAAGTAAAGGCTCAAATAGAATTTCCCATTCCTAAAACTAAACATGTTTAAGATTTCAGGGACAGGCTTGCCTGCCACTCCCATGTATCTTCAACATTGCTGTGGCAGAATTTTAAACTATTTACCTACTGAAGGCCAACAAGTAGTGAGTTAGACTAGTGTAGTGTGGTGTGCAAACAAATGAGTCATGCATCAAGATTTCACTTCAGGAGTGGAGTTGGAACATGTTGAAGAGGTAGAAGAAAGCAAAGTTAGTAATCTTTACAATTTGGCATCGAAGTTCAATTCAAGACAAACAAACAATCTAGATCATGAATTACCTGGTTCAGGCAGAGTAGCAGCCAGGGACAGGGACACAGTCAACAGCAGCAAGACAATTAAGACAATTTGTGCTTCCCAACATTCAACTGAAACAAAATACTGATGATCGATGCTGAAACCCTGGGGAGGTGAAGGAAGAGGAGAAGTACCCATTTGAAAAGTTACAATGATACTCATTAGTAGAAATGGAACCAGGCCTCAGGTGGGCTTTAATATATAAATGAGGTAGTTGCAGGTGTTTGTAAGTTTGGTTTCCAGTATGTCCTCTTCCTAGGACAGGAACATGCAATCCACGTATTTGCTCAACAGACTCAATGTCCTTGCACATACAGAAATGAAGTCTGACCTTACATTTGGATGGAATGTTAAACTGATTTTGCTTCACTCTAACATTTATTCAGGTGGGTATTCTGATCCTTTGGTTTTACTCAAAGAAGCCTAGAGTTCCCTATTGTCTTGACCAATATTACTCCCCAAACTGTTTGCAAAAACAAAAACAGATTAATTGATCTTTTACTTCATTACTGTTGTGGGACTCCAGTGACATAACGTGGTTACAATTTTGCCTATAAGACCTAGTGCATTTGGAATGGAATTCACTATCAAGCAGTCTGAAAAAATTCATTATGTTGAGGAGCCAAATGTGGCAAACATACTAAAAAAATTCAGAGTATACTACAATAGTGATTGTGTTAAAATTTAAGTCAGAAGTGCAAAATCTTATGAACAAACACCTACTGCATGTGCTAGATAAAATTACTTTGAGTACTCACTTTATCAAAGCCCATAGCACACAGTTTGTCTACCTTTCTAGTGTACTCGGGGCTAGGAACAGGCGCTCCAGCATATACGTGCGCCCAGAGTCGGGCTGTCTGTTTAAACATCTCTGGATTTTGCTTGTACTGCAAACAGAACATATTCTATAAATACACTACACACGTAGAGATTTTAAGAAATTACATTAGTTTGTGATGAAGTAAATATTTTAAAAAGGAAACAAATTTTAATATGACAAATCAACTGATGCAAATATACTTTAAAAATGCACTTTAAGTAGTTTCATAAAATTGAAGATGGAGAGGGCAACATTCAGAGAGATCAGGGGCCAGACATCCCCTCAGCTTTTGAGAACATGGTCTGTTTTGAGCCAATAATGGTGAGGGAAGGGGAAAAAAAAATCAAGTTTCCAAAGAAACAGTTACACCATTTCTGCTAACCACATTGTAACAAATCTATACCGAATCATTACCTAACAATAGTTAATGTTCATTCCAATCATTAATTATAAATTCCTAGAGCGTTAGCAACTCTCCATCACTAATCAAAAAAAAAATGAAAATTTCTCTGGATTGAAGTTTTAAGAAAAACAGCAAAATTTATTATTTTTTGAAGATTAAAGACTAGAAATAACTTCACAGCACAGCTTGCAGATGTAGTGACAAATTAATGTCTTATCCAAAAGATACACAAACAGGCTCCAGTTGTCCTCTCAGGTCAATGTATAGGATCAAGAGGTATTATTAATGAAGCAAAACAGCAGTGCCCTGACCTATGTTTATCTCTGAAACAGCAATGAAACAGATGGTCTGGTTATTTATCACATTGATGATATTCATAGGGTTTGCATAAACTGGCCGCCACATATCCTGCAAAATGATAACAATGATTGAGCCTAGGGCATTACTTTGAGAAATTCCTGCAGAGGTGTCAAAACAAAAATGAGGTAGGAGTGTTTTGGGATGCCCCAATATCATGAAAGGTGATATATAAATGTGAGCATTTTCTTCTTTTTGGCAATTATTTGTTCAGAGCTCAAATTTAATGCATCTACAATGGTATTATACTGGGACGAGATAGTTAATCATATACTTCTGACTATGAAATCAATTTGCTTTTTTTTTAAACATGTCCTTTTGTTACAAATAATAGGAATACAAACATTGTACAAAGAATTTCATGTCTTTTTTTCTTACTCTCTTCTATCAAAAGACAATGTTCAGTATCCAGAAATTGATGCAGTCTTCGAGAGATCTGAATTGGACATTCTCCAAATCAGACTATGATCAACTGATGGCAATAGGGAAGGAGGGAAAAAGGAATAAATAAGATTTACACTCAATTATGGCCTCACATTCACAATTTACAGAATGAGAGTTCTTTGATAGTAATCAAAAAGAAATATTGGTCAATTTCACCCACCACCATTTCCTAATCTGAACAATAAGGTCAGCTGCAACAAGCCTACTGCTGCTGTAAATTTTCAGCTTAACTCAATCAGGGCTCCTGATCCATACAGCTCAATGTCGCTTCAAGACTGTATTTAAGGAGAAATTTAAGAAATTCCTAAACAAATGTCACAATTATTTAAAAACAAAGTTCTGTATGCTGCATTCATTTCCATATTCCTTTTATAAACAATTTTCTTTTAAAAAGTCACTCGATGCTTACTCTGGTAAGCAAACAAATTCATGACAGTTTTAAAAGTCAGTTTAAAACTTTTAATCTTCATTATTTTAATGGTGAAAAAGTTAAAATCTAAACCAATAAATTACTGTTACAGCAATCTCTTTTCTGCATTCAAACAAGGACTTTTTATGGCCAAATCCAATGCAAGTTAAAATATCAACTATTTAAAATGAATTAAATATTAACCCAGCATCTCATAGAATATTAATAATTTGAGTATTGCTGAAGACAGTGGTTATTGAAGCTTTTCATCTTGGCTCATTAAGACATATTCTCATAAATACCAAGGTAAAAGGAAGGAAGAGTTTTGTACAGACAAGTGCCTGTCACCTGGTTAGCAAATGGGCTCTGTTATAGGAAAACACCCCTATTAAAGAAGGCCAAGCTTTCTTTTAATTTAAATCAGGTAGGTTGACTTGGATTAATGAAAGGCATTGCTCTATTTTGTTTACCTGAAGCATACACAATGTGCATATTCCATCTAGAGGTGTAGTCTGTATACAATTTTATATTAGCAAAATAAATGGCAATTTAAACAATTGCAGGATTTATCCTAAATAGATTGTTTACAAAAGCAATGCTGAAATGTAGTACAATGGATAGCAGCAATCTGTAGACTTTTTAAAAATTTGCCATTCTTCAGACGTTCCCCCCTTACTTTCTTGTTAGAACATGCTGTGTTATGTGCCACTGAGCAGTACTGCCAAGAAATTTCACACTTGTTCTGATAAATTGTCCCTATTATTTGCACTTTTTAAAAAATATTGACCATAAACCCAAGTATATGATCATTCTGCATTGTGCTGGCTGCTGCCAAGCCTGTTCTAACCTGTTGTGCCACGACTGCATCCTGTGGGTCATCTGGTTCTGCTGCTGCCAATAAGGCTTGTAATGATAATAAAACTGTTCTTAAAGTCATTGCAGCAGCCCTAAAAATAAAATTGAACAAAGTCAGTCACTGAACAGAGTAAAATTCCAGAAAGTTCACATTCTACAGATCACCCTTCTTATATAAATGCCTTCAACATAATTCAGTTTCTTTTTAAATTGTGAAAAGCAAGAATAACAACATTAAATAAAACTGCTTCCTGGCCTCCTCCTAGTGGACAGAAATGGAGAACCAGACCTTGGGAATAGATTTTTTTATCTGTAGTGTTCGGAATAAGGTACTCTAATGTGACCTAGAGTGAGCAAGAATAAACAAGGTGTTCAGACAATAACATGATTGTTGTTGAGACACTAGTGGCCAAATCGAAAAACATAAGTTGGTGAAAACAATCTTGTTTGGAATAACTGATTCTAAACTCTCATACAAGGCATCATTAATTTCTGACAATATCCGAACTTGCAGTAAACTTCAAGCACAGGTATCTGCTTGCAGGAAGGGGAAACCAAAACACTGCATGCTAGAAATCCAAGGCTTGAAATGTCATCTTTGTTTCTCGCTTCGCATTAAACTATCCCAATATATCCAATCCAGTCCACGTGACTATCTTTAATAACATACAATTCTCACCTAACGCTGCATTAAATTATTTCTGATGGGTTACAGAGGAGTATGGCCACTATAAAAACTGTAGTGGAGTTACCAACTTTGTACAGGTTTTTTTTAGTACAAATTAATTATTTTATTCATTTATGGGATGTGATACGCAAGCATCGCTGGCTGGGCCAGCATTTATTGCCCATTCCTACTGGCGCTCAAAGGTGGTGGTGTTGTCTTCAAGCTGCCTTCTTGAACTACTGCAGTCCGTTTGCTGTAACAAGTTCCAGGATTGTGACCAGCTGTACTGAAGTGAATGGTGAAATATTTCCAAGTCAGGATATTTAGTGGCTTGCAGGTGGTGATACTCACATATTTGCTGCCCTTGTCCTTCTAGAAGATAGTTGCTGCTGGTTTATAAGGTGTAGTGAAAATAGCATTGGTGATTACTTCAGTAGATTTATAGATGTGTACACCACTCCTACTTTGTATTGATGATGGAGGGAATGAATATTTGTGGATGTGGTGCCAATCAACCATGCTGCTTCGTCCTGGATGGTGTCAAGCTTCAGTGTTGTTGGAGCTGCATTCATCCAGGCAGGTGGAGAGTATTCCATCTCACTCCTGACTGTGCCTTGTAGATGGTGGATAGGCTTTGGGGAGTCAGAAGGCAAGTTATTCACTGCAGGATTCCTAGTCTCTGACCTGCTCTTCTAACTACAGTATTTATATGGTTAGTCGAGTTCAGATGTTGATAGAGGGGGAATACAGTAATGGCAAATGTTAAGTGACAAAATAGTAACAGCCTGGATATTGCTGCATTTGGATATGAACCACTTCAGTGTCTGAGTCACAAATGGTGTTCAACATTGTGCAATCAGCGAACATCCCTACTTCTGACCTCCTAGTTGGAGGCAAGGTCAATGTTATTTCTAATTAAGTACCAGCTGATAGCAATGTTGACAACACCTTCCAATATTTACTGGTGATCAATAGTAGACTGGTGGGGCCAGTAACTGGCTACACTGGACACGTACAGGTCACAATGCGCAATTTTCCACATTGTCAGAAAGATGCAAGTGTCATGACTTTACTGAAACAACCTGGCTAAGGTGGGACAAGTTCTGTAGAATAATTCTTCAGCACTATTGTCAGAATATGCATCTAACACTGCTTCATGTCCTTGACTCCACTACCTTCTGGAGGTAGAGAGTTCCAAAATCTCTCAACCCTGAAACAAAATTCTCCTGATCTGTCTTAAGCAGGACACTCCTAATTTTAAAACAATGCCGCCGAATTCTGTACTCACCCACAGCATAAACATCCCTGCCACAATCGGTTTTATCAAGATCATTCAGGATCTTATACACTTCAACCAAGTCACTCTTCCCTCTTCTAAACTCCAGTGGAAAAGATCCAACCTGTGCAATCATCCCAATCATTCAGGATATCAATGTTGTTATTCTCTTCTGAACCGCCTCCAATGCATTTACATCTTTCCTCAAATATGATAAACTGCACACAGTAGTTCAAATGTAGTTTCACCAATGTCTTGTACGACTGAATGAAAACATCCTTACATTTACATTCATTTCTTCCCACTATAAAGGATAGCATTCCATTAGCCTTCTTGATTACATGCAGTACCTATAATTCATGCATTAGAACACTTAAATCCATCTGCATCTTGCAATTCTATAGTTGTTCTCCAGTTAAAAAATATGTTTCTTTTGCTCTTGTATCTATTCTTTTGGACATCTCTTATCAGATAACCTTTGCTCCAAAGAGAAGCAGGATCCTAGTTTATCCAACCTAACCTTGTAGTTAAAATCCACCATTCCATGGAACAATTCTAGTTAATCACTTCTGCACCCTTTGCATCCTTCCAAGTCTGATGAAGGTTCATAATACATTGTTGTTATTTGGGAACTCAGGTTCTAAAGTGGTAGAATGATAGATCGCTTTAAGTTCGATTTGCATTGAAACTATATTTTCTTCTGTTCTTATTGAACTCAATATAAAAATATAAATCAAACTTAAAGCTAAGGAGGATGAAAACATATTTTCAATTTCATTTCTTAATGAGAGTTTTAGTGTGAGGAGAGCTGAGATTTGTTGATCCATATGTTTTAAATGAGGGTTTACAGCACTGGAACAGAGCTAGGAATTAACAATTCAATATATTTTTAAAAAAGGTGAAGAAGATTGGCCTGCTGCCTAACATTAAGGTGTTCAATGACAGTGAGACAAGGGCAGAAACATCCAGGAAGTCTGGAGTGCTAAGCTAATAAGATGGTTGGCTAGAAAAATGCTGGAAGCTGAGAGTTTGGGGAAACATATGTTTGCTCTGAAGGTGATTAAATATCACGAAGAAGAAAGCTCCAGAAAACAATTAAATCTCAGCTAAGCATGAAGCTTTCATGTGTAATGAGGAATGACTCTTGACTAAGGTTAGTGCGTCTGCAAGGTGGTTGTTGAGGTAAAAAAAAGTACAATCTTTCATTAATATTTGTAATGAGATTGCTTCAAATGTTCTTATATAGTGTAACAGTTTTTGGGTTTTTTGGGTGAGAAATGTTCATGTCTTGCTTATGAAGGTATATTGAAATCTCTTGTGAATGTATCAGAGATGAATCTCTGCAGTAAATAGAAAAAAAACAGGATCTGTCAAACAAGGTCTCACTATGGGATCTGACTTCTTCAGTATTACCATCAGCTGAGAATTTAATTAGAGTACGGTGACCAGAATTGGACACAATACTGCAAAGCTATTGGTGATCCACAACTAGAAAGATTCAACATCTACTTTAAAACTCTATTTCTTGATGAAGTACATGCTTTACTGTCCAGTCATTCAAAATGTTCTGCCACCTTCAAGGATCCAATCACATGAACTTCAAGATCCCTCTCTCCCTACAGATCTTTAAGACTGTACTATTTAATTCTCATGCCTTCTCCCTAATCTTTCTGCCAAAATGCTAATTGCCATTCTATTTGCAAACACCCTCTGCTAATTGTTTTCCTCTTCATTTCCTCTCAACTTAGTGTTTGGTCCACTTCTCACTTGAAGAATCAAAATGAAAGCACATATGGATTCTCAGGAACTGAAAAGGACAGAATTATTAAAAAGGGTGTGGAGAAAGAAGTTTATGCTGACTGGCTTCTTTATTGTAGCATTCCTTTTTCAAGATTTCTTCACTATTAGAGACATTCTATTTTGTAATTTAAATGTTACAATTCTAACTGTTCAAAGGTGCAAAAACTTGAAAGTAAAAATACACCATTAATAAGAAGTGCCCTGAAATTACTTGATTTCTGTAAATTATTTCATAACAGCTTCAGTACTTCTCTAATCCAAAGCACCTAATTTTTTTGACAATATAAACATTTGGTTAGCAAATCATAAAAGTACCAATTTTTAAAATATGAATTATGCTAAGAGTGATCAGCATATAAACTGTGGAACTCCTTCAACCACAAAAGCCTGCTTGACTTTTGATGCAAAGTAGTTCACATCCATGTTAAGTTGTAACATAAACGTGAAGTTCAGATGCAGCCCAAACCAAGATGTGGAAAGAGGTGCTGTGAAGGGTTAGTCTTAAATCGCTTATATAGAATGCAAGTGCAGTGTAGTGCCAAGAAGTTATAAAAGAAAAAGTAGTGTGCTTTGTAAACTATTTGAACAATTTACAAATTCAGACAGTGCAGTTATGAATTCCTGGAAACACGTAAAAATTTGCAATTACCCAGGAGAGGAAGTGTACGTATCTAAGTAACAGTATGAAAGCAGAACTTTCTGCCGAGCATGAGTTCCGTCCAGCCCATGAGAACCTGATATTAAATAATATTGCAACTATTGGTTTTGCATTGGTAGCTGGAATACAAATGCAGCATAGAACAAAATCTACCCAGTCAGAAACACTAAGCCAAATATCTCTAGTAGTTTATACGTCAGCACAAACATCACAATAGAACACAAAACCTATGGACGGCAAAATTGATGCACAGAATATTCTGCACAACTGTTATGCACTTTGTTCTGCAGTAGTACACCAATGGTCACAGTACAATAGCTCAGTAGAAACTGGCCTTGGGTAGTGTTGTAGAACAGAAAGACCTAAGGGTGCAGGTACCTAATTCTTTGACGTTTCCGTCACATATAGGCAGTGTGGCTAAAAAGGCATTTGACACATTTGCCTTCATCGTTCAGTCCTTTGAATATAGGAGTTGGACAGGACATTGGTGAGGCCTCTTCTGGAATACCGTATCCAGTTCTCATCGCCCAGTTATAGGAAGGATATTATCAAGCTGGAGAGGGTCCAGAAGAGATTTACCAGGATGCTGCTGGGTATAGAAGGTTCGAGTTATAAAGAAAGGCTGAATAGCCTGGGATTTTTTCACTAGAATGTAGGAGGTTGAGAAGCAACCTGATAGCAGTTTATAAAATAATGAGAGATATAAATAGCATTAATGGTAGTTGTCTTTTCGCTAGAATGGGGATTTCAAGATTAGGGGGCACATTTTCAAGGTGAGAAGAGAGACATTTAATAAAAAACAAGGCAATTTTTTTTAACACAGAGGGTTGTTCACATGTAGAATAAACTTCCTGAGAAGTGGTGGATGCGGATACAATACAATGTTAAAAAGACATTTGGATAGATACATGAATAGGAAGGTTTGGAAAAGGTTTTGAGGGATATGGGCCAGCAGCAGGCACGTGGGACTAGTTTAGTTTGGGATTATGTTCAACATGGGCCGGTTGGACTGCAGGATCTGTTTCCATGCTGTATGACTCTACAGCAGCAACATCACTAAAGAACTGCAGCTATTGCTAATTCGAGGCTTTTTATTGCCAAAAGGAGGCAGCAAACACAGCAATAAGGCATGTGACACTAGAGAAGCTTGGATTGTTCTCCATTGAGCAGAGAAGATTCAAGAGCAGCTTAACAGATTTGTTAAAAATTATGAAAGGTTTTGCCAAAGTGGGTAGGGAGAAACTATTTCCACTAGCATGAAGGTAGATAACCAGAGGAAACGAATTTAAAACAAAATGGTAAAAATTAAAATACAGTCAGGCACAAATAATTTACTTCTGATAAATACAGCCAGTTATTAGGATTGGAAATGTGCCACATAATGTAATGGGTGAAGATTCAATCATAGCTTTCAAGGCTAAAGCGAAAAAGCAAGATATGAAACTAATTGAGTAAGCTCTGTCAAATGATCAATACAGATATGATGAGTCTGTCAGAATCACATAACATAATGAAGGCTATGCAGACAAATCAATGGCTACACCACATGTCACAGCATCTTCTCTCAATTTATTTTAATGCATCAGAACTTTTTACATTAATATAGAGTCAAAGTCATATAGCATGGAAAGACCACTCGGTCCAACTCATCCATGCTGATCAGCCATCCTAATCTGACCTAGTCCCATTTGCTAGCATTTGGCTCATATCCCTCTGAACCCTTCCTATTCATATACCCATCTGGATGCCTTGTAAATGTTCTAACTGTACTTGTCTCCACCACATTCCACACACACACCACCCTGTGTGTGAAAAAGTTACCCCTCAAGTCCTTTTTAAATCTTTCCCCCCTCTCTTTAAACAAATGCCCTCTAGTTTCAGACTCCCCATCCTGGGGAAAAGACCTTGGCTATTCACCCTATCCATACCCCTCATGATTTTATAAACCTTTGTAAGGTCACTCCTCAGCCTCTGATGCTGCACAGAAAAGAGCCCCAGCCCATTTAGCCTCTCCTTATAACTCAAACCCTCCAGTCCTGGCAACATCCTTTTAAATCTTTTCTGCATTCTTTCAGGTTTAACAACATTCTTCCTAAAGAAGAGTGACCAGAATTGTATAGGTATTGTAAAAGTGGCCTCACCAAATTCCTGCACAGCCACAACATGACATCCCAACTCCTATAATCTATGTTCTAACCAATGAAGGCAAGCATGCCAAATGCCTTCTTCACAACCCCGTCTATCCAAGACTCTACTTTCAAGGAACTACGCACCAAAACCAACAACCCTAGGTCTCTTTGTGTGACTGGATCCTTCATATTATTCAAATGTAGAGAAATCATACAAAAAGTCTGATCCAATTTGATTTAAATCAGTAAAGACTTAAAAGTAAAATTACACCAAGTTCTTACTTAATGCTGCAGTTGCCTCTATCAAAAATGCAACTTTTAGTAAAATTAAGTGAATCAGATTCAAACATAAAATCTGTTTCAGCAGAAAAGGGACATCAAAACATTATATCCTGCATGTTGAAATACTTCACATTCTGTATTATGTGAATTTCTGTAGTTTGCAAATTTCTGTATTTGCAAGTTAAATAGCTTTTAAAGCTATAAAAGAAATATGCAAACACATTCTACTTGTATGTTGGCTCGTGACAGTCCGGCTTGCTAACCCTTTTGGTCATTGCCAAACTCCAAACTTCCCACTCATCACTCTCCTAACTTTCTGATCTTCACTCTCACCCAACATCCTACTCACTGCTTCCCTCTCCAAAACCTCACTACAAACAAGGGCTCATGAGATGAACAATTAAAGATGGGAAGACCAGATTTGGAACATGAGCAGCTTCAAGTTGCAGGTTTTTGGGAGGTAAGCAGCAAGCTGGAGCACCAGCAAGAGCAAGGGTCAGGGCAGTAAATCCAAAATGGTGCAGGTTGAGTCACATGACCATCCATCAGACTTGGTGCAATAGAATGTCAAAACAAAACACCCAACAGTAAATGCAAATGCCAGCCGCATTAACAGCTTGAAACAGAGCAACTTAAACAGGGACTTATTGTACAGTTCCCTACAATAGGGATCAAAAAGTTGTAATTCAAGCTATTTTTTGTTAAACCAGAGATTGCAAGCAACGCAAAACTGAAAAGGTACAGGAACTCACCATTGATCTTTCAAAATATCCAAACAAATAGCTCCTGTTACTGAACTAATATTTGGATGCCAAATTTTTGTAATAAACCGAACCTGAAAGATAGAATTATTTCCATTAATGTTTTAATAGATAATTAAAAACAAAAGATTCTCAAAGCATCGTGAATAATACAAAATAATTGCCTGAATACAAATGAACAAGAATCATAAATTTGGCAAGTCAATATTTAATTTTTCCAGTGAAAGAGATGGATACCTCCAGTGTTTGCAACTATTTAAAAAAACTATGTCAGGTAATTTTTATTGAATAGTTAAGACTGCAAAGTTATAAGGTTATCAAGAAGTTCATCAAGTCCCTGAATCTTCAATTGTTGTTAAGAGTGGGTGAAAACTCTTAACACAGGTTAGTTCATACTGTTAAATACATACAGTATTCTAAAACTCTCTACAATCTACTCCAGATAAGTCAACTTCTCAATGACTCTCAAACTAAAATGGCAAAAGTTTGAGATAGATAAACTGGGCTTTCAGATTACTAAAAAAGACTGGACAGTGATTGATATTTTGGACATAAATGAACTCCATGCCCTAAACTCAAAGATGATATGCTTGATTTGCCCACAAACTTCAGAATTGGGGGCAGCACAGTGGCTCAGTGGTTAGCACTGCTGCCTCACAGCACCAGCGGCCCGGGTTCAATCCCAGCCTCAGGCGACTGTCTGTGTAGAGTTTGCACATTCAGCCCGTGTCTGCATAGGTTTCCGCAGGGTGCTCCAGTTTCCTCCACAGTCCAAAGGCAGGCACGTCAGGTGGAGTGGCCATGCTAAATTTCTCCACAGTGTCCAGGGATGTGTCGGTTAGGTGGATTACTCATGGGAAATGCAAGGTTACAAGGAAAGGGTAGGGCAGCGAGTCTGATTGGGATGTTCTTCGGAGAGTCGGTGTGGACTTGTTTGGCTGAATGGCCTGTTTCCACACAGTAGGGATTCTGTGAGAATTCTGATGGTGGAACCAAATAGAGTCTCGAGCCCACAGATATTCACAGCAAGACCAATGCACAATATTCCCTAGGAGACAATCTCTTGATTGACCACCTCCACACCTGCAAGCTAGCAGGCTCCTGCTACTGCAGGCACAGTAGGGGCAGGTCTACTGCCTTAGCAGCTGCATTAGTGGAGGGTGCACTTTCAACTCAAGCTGGCAAGTGATTGGTGTGGAGGGGAATCCCCTGCAAAGGATCAGATGTGATCTTAATTGTAGCCTTTCACCCTGTCTTGTCAGTGACACACATTACTTCAGCCTCCAAAACTCCCAAGGTTTGGAGATGGAAGCCATCTCCAAAGAGTTGAAATATTTCCCTTGGCTCCGGCTACTGCATCATTGGTGGGAAAGCTTTGCAACGCTGCAAATTCATCCTAAATCCACACTAATGAGCTGCCTGCCTTTGTGGAGCAGCCTGTTCCCAGCCCAACACCCAGCTCTCCGTTGGTGGTAGTACATCAGGTTGTTGTCCGAAAATGGCTCTCTATCACGGTGGAAGTGGTACTAAGTGGTGGTGGAAATCCAAGAACATATTTTATCATGGTCATTCAATTTCATACTGGTGCAAAATGAATAATTTTAGAAAACAAAACGTGCTTGTTTAAGGCACGCTAAGTTCCATACAACCATATGGCTGCTGTCTCATTACAGTGTAACTCGAATAGTGGCGAGTTGAACCAGAGGGGCACCAGTGAGAAGTTAGGACCTTCATGGTAACCCCAACGGTGTGGGATGAACTTATGCAATGGCGTCACTGTGTGTTGCAAACCAGCCATCTAGTATAACAAGAATAAAAATACTGAAAAAAAAACAACTTACTTTTGCTGGTTACAAATTAATGCAAGAAAATCAACTTCTTGGCTGGTCAACTCAACAGCATTCGAATCCAATCTGGCACCCTACTTTAACATGCCCATTTTGGCATAAGTACAGTCACTATTAAATGATTTTGCCAACTCTAAAATATGATAGCTGCTGTCCATCAGTAGAATGACTAAAATATCTTCTAATTAGCTGGAAATATAGATTGTTTAAAAAAACAAAATCAACAAAACTGTTGAGACTTGTAATGACATTCCACCAGAGTAGGATGGACATGTGCATAGGGCCTAGAGGTAAGGAGACTACCACTGTGTCACAAAACTGAGACATAGATTGTAGACCTGCTGTAACAAAACCCCAATTTTGATCAAATTTCAAAATTTCAGATTTCAAAATCCAAACAAAAGACCAAATGACTGAAGTAAGGAATCTTGAACTTGCAAATGCATGCAATCCTTTCAAATGTCAAAATATAAAGCAACATTTCCCTTTCAACACACTCCTAGGCTTGAGGATCACGTGTAATTTTCTGTCAGAATAAAGCATCATGACAGTAACAGGGTGATAAATAGGCTTGACTACGCAAGAACTTAATTCTTCAATTCAAAATTTACAGACTATACTGCATACCCATCATGGGTTATTCCCATGCAGTCACCAAATGTCATACTCAAGGCCTAGGAAAACAACATAGGATACGCAGAATGAACACAGCAGGCCAAGCAGCATCATAGGAGCAGAGAGGCTGACGTTTCGGGCCTAGACCCTTCATCAGAAAAGGGGGAGGGGAAGGGGGTTCTGAAATAAATAGGGAGAGAGTGGGAGGCGGAAAGAAGAGGGATAGAGGAGAGGATAGGTGGAGAGGAAACAAACAGGTCGAAGAGGCGGGGATGGAGCCAGTAAAGGTGAGTGTAGGTAGGGAGTTAGGAAGGGGATAGGTCAGTCCAGGGAGGACGGACAGGTCAAGGGGGCGGGATGAGGTTGGTCAGTAGGAGATGGAGGTGCGGCTTGAGGTGGGAGGAGGGGGGGATAGGTGGGAGGAAGAACAGGTTAGGGAGGCAGGGACGAGTTGGACTGGTTTTGGGATGCGGTGGGGGGAGGGGAGATTTTGAAACTTGTGAAATCCACATTGATACCATTGGGCTGCAGGGTTCCCAAGCGGAATATGAGTTGCTGTTCCTGCAACCTTCGGGTGGCATCGTTGTGGCACTGCAGGAGGCCCAGGATGGACATGTCGTCTGAGGAATGGGAGGGGTGTTGAAATGGTTCGCGACTGGGAGGTGCAGTTGTTTGTTGCGAACCGAGCGTAGGTGTTCTGCAAAGCGGTCCCCGAGTCTCCGCTTGGTTTCCCCGATGTAGAGGAAGCCACACCGGGTACAGCGGATGCAGTATACCACATTGGCAGATGTGCAGGTGAACATCTGCTTGATGTGGAAAGTCTTCTTGGGGCCTGGGATGGGGGTGAGGGAGGAGGTATGGGGGCAGGTGTAGCACTTCCTGCGGTTGCAGGGAAAAGTGCCGGGTGTGGTGGAGCTGGAGGGGAGTGTGGAGCGGACATGGGAGTCACGGAGCGAGTTGTCCCTCCGGAAAGCAGATAAGGGTGGGGAGGGAAAGATGTCTTTGGTGGTGGGGTCGGATTGCAGATGGCGGAAGTGTCGGAGGATGATGCATTGGATCCGGAGGTTGGTGGGGTGGTACGTGAAGACGAGGGGGATTCTTTTTTGGTTCTTATTGCATGGACGGGGTGTGAGGGATGAGGTGCGGGAGATGTGGGAGACGCGGTTGAGGGCGTTCTCGACCACCGAGGGGGGGAAGTTACGGTCCTTGAAAAACGAGGACAACTGAGATGTACGGGAGTGGAATGCCTCATCCTGGGAGCAGATGCGGCGGAGGCGAAGGAATTGGGAATAGGGGATAGCATTTTTGCAGGAAGGTGGGTGGGAGGAGGAGTATTCTAGGTAGCTGTGGGAGTCGGTGGGCTTGAAATGAATATCGGTTTCCAGGTGGTTGCCCGATATGGAGACAGAGAGGTCCAGGAAGGGGAGAGAGGTGTTGGAGATGGTCCAGGTAAACTTAAGGTTGGGGTGGAAGGTGTTAGTGAAGTGGATGAACTGTTCAAGCTCCTCATGGGAGCACGAGGCGGCGCCGATACAGTCATCAATGTAACGGAGGAAGAGGTGGGGTTTAGGGTCGGTGTACCAACCTCCGGATGCAACGCATCATCCTCCGACACTTCCGCCATCTGCAATCCGACCCCACCACCAAAGACATCTTTCCCTCCCCACCCTTATCTGCTTTCCGGAGGGACCACTCTCTCCGTGACTCCCTTGTCCGCTCCACACTCCCCTCCAGCTCCACCACACCCGGCACTTTTCCCTGCAACCGCAGGAAGTGCTACACCTGCCCCCATACCTCCTCCCTCACCCCCATCCCAGGCCCCAAGAAGACTTTCCACATCAAGCAGATGTTCACCTGCACATCTGCCAATGTGGTATACTGCATCCGCTGTACCCGGTGTGGCTTCCTCTACATCGGGGAAACCAAGCGGAGACTCGGGGACCGCTTTGCAGAACACCTACGCTCGGTTCGCAACAAACAACTGCACCTCCCAGTCGCGAACCATTTCAACACCCCTCCCATTCCTCAGACGACATGTCCATCCTGGGCCTCCTGCAGTGCCACAACGATGCCACCCGAAGGTTGCAGGAACAGCAACTCATATTCCGCTTGGGAACCCTGCAGCCCAATGGTATCAATGTGGATTTCACAAGTTTCAAAATCTCCCCTCCCCCCACCGCATCCCAAAACCAGTCCAACTCGTCCCTGCCTCCCTAACCTGTTCTTCCTCCCACCTATCCCCCCCTCCTCCCACCTCAAGCCGCACCTCCATCTCCTACTGACCAACCTCATCCCGCCCCCTTGACCTGTCCGTCCTCCCTGGACTGACCTATCCCCTTCCTAACTCCCTACCTACACTCACCTTTACTGGCTCCATCCCCGCCTCTTCGACCTGTTTGTTTCCTCTCCACCTATCCTCTCCTCTATCCCTCTTCTTTCCGCCTCCCACTCTCTCCCTATTTATTTCAGAACCCCCTTCCCCTCCCCCTTTTCTGATGAAGGGTCTAGGCCCGAAACGTCAGCCTCTCTGCTCCTATGATGCTGCTTGACCTGCTGTGTTCATCCAGCCCTGCACCTTGTTGTCTCGGATTCTCCAGCATCTGCAGTTCCTACTATCTAGGATACGCAGAATACCTGGTTTGGCACTAAGAAATCTCACTTCGTACCTTTTACAACTGCCTCCGAAGTACAAATCCACCTCCTCATAACATGCAGACTGAACAACCACCCACAAGATCACGGCCAGACTCCTTTAATGCACTCAGGAGTTTTCCATCACAAAAATTTATTATATCCTCTCAAATGATTTACACCTTTTTGACACTGCAGCATGTCATAAAACATTTTACCATCAAGACAAAGGACAGCAACAAAGTGAACATGGAACAAAACAAAAGCAAGTTTAGAAGTTTGTCGAAACAAAATGGTGCTACCCCAGTAACAAAAATAAAAATGGTGCAATACAATTTGAAAAATGAAAAACAGGATGACCACCATACATTTAGCACCTTTTCTGATTCAGGATATCTACATGTACTTTATAATCAATGAAGTATAGTCACTGCTACAAGGCAGAAAAAGCAACAGCCAATTTAAACAAACGTATTGATTTGAAGGCTTCTCAAAATTTTACAAAACCACAAGATTTATTTGAAAATGCAACAAAAGGTTCAAACATTGACCATATTTAACTGATAGCTATAATAGTTCAAAACATTTTCTTTTAAATTATAGCTGGTAACAAATATCATGCTGAAAGTCCCTCATTCCTAGTTTTAATACTACCAATAAATTTAGTAGTCATTGCCTGTTATTTTATCCACAAACACAAGTGTACAGATATGTCTCACCTTTGGAGGATTAAATGGATATGTTTCTGGAATTTTAATTTCTAGTTGATAACGCCCTCCTGCATAAATACAAAGCAGATACATTAGAAAATCATTTAACAGTAATTTCCATTGTGTTTGAAATGTATCTTACAATTAAATACTGGAAATTACACAGGGTTTTATACGGCATCGTCAAATTTAAACTTCAACATTTTTCCTTATTTTCAAATACTACTGACTATGATCATACGATTCCAAGCACTGTACATAATACAATTTCCTCAAATCAATAATTAACAGGAATGTTAGAAAAGCAAATGACTTCTACAAAAATGGCCATTCAACTTGCAAAATACTTCCCTCCAAATAAGCAAATGTTACCTTTGAGAAAGACAGAATCACCCAGCTAATAATACTTTAACTTCCAATTTAAGGGCATTTGGCATTTTATTCCCACCTCTTTTCCCAGATGATTGTTAACAATAAACAAGATCGGAACTCTTCAGAATGCAATTCCACTCAACTTTTCAGTTTTCAATCGTTATGTACCTATCCTTATATATCTACTTGCTCAAAGGGCTTTTTGAGTGCTGCCTTTGAGTTTCAGGATGTTCTTTAATATTTTCACTTTGGTTCAATCAGATAAGATTGTAAAATTGTTATGGATCAAGTTATAAGAATCCTGCACAAACCAGATCTTTGTCAGGATTTGGACTGATAGACCATAATCTCAAAAACATGGAGGAACTAAGAAAATAAAATAAACAGGAGGATTGCAGGATTAAACTGAAGCATAAAATCTTTACTATAAAAACTTCAAATGAACAAACAAAAATAAGTATTAAATTGGCACACTGAACAAGGTAATGATTCCAAACCATATACACAACTTAGCCTCTTAACATTTAGATTGAGGTAAATTTTGAGTTAGCAGACAAACAGCAAATTTAACTGCAAACTCTCACTTTAAATAACTAATGCAGCCAAGACTAGACCTCTCCCAGACACTAGTGATATTGTCATTCACCAAATCTCATTAGAACAAAGAATTCAAAAATTTCATTTCTGAAGATCTGGATTCAGAGTTCCTCAAAAGCCTCTCCAACTCAAACCTTCAACTGTCCTAGTAGTTCAGTCTCTTCTCCTGAGGCAAAGGTTCCCCCGACTCTTAAAACTGCTCCAAAGCATCCAAGAGATAACAAGGTGTAGAGCTGGATGAACACAGCAGGCCAAGCAGCATCAGAGAAGCAGGAAGGCTGACGCTTCAGGCCTAGACCCTTCTTCAGAAAAATTTTCAACCTTATCTTTTGCACTGATGTGCTAAACTCTTCCATCAGAGGATGGGAATATTTGTGGAGTCATCTCCTCCAGTAAGTTGTTTAATTGTCCCCACTGCTCATGATTGGATGTGGCAGGATTGCACAGCTTAGATCTGATCCACTGGTTGTGGGATCGCTTAGCTTTGTCCATCACTTGCTACTTATGCTGCTTGGCATGCAAGTAGTGCTGTTTTGTAGTCACATCAGATTGACACCTCATTTTCAGGTATGCCTGGTGCAACACCTGGCATGTTTCCCGCACTCTTCATTGATCAAGGATCGATCTCTTGGCTTGATGGTATACGTACAGTAGAGGATATGCTGAGCCATTAAGTTACAGGTTGTGTTGAAGTATGATTATGCTGCTGATGGCCTACAGCAGCTCATGTATGTCAGTCTGGAGTTGCTAAATCTGCTCAAAGTCTGCCCCATTTAAAACGGTCGCAGTGCCACACAGTACAAAGTAAGGTTTTATCAATGATGACGGCAGGAATGCGTATTCATTATAACCGTGCAGTGGTCACTCTTACCGATATTGCGACTGACAAATACATCTGCAGCAGACAGATTGTCGAGGATGAGGCTAAATACGTTTTTCCCTCCCCACCTACCACAGACCCAGTCTAGTAGCAATGTCCTTTAGGACTCAACTAGCTCAATTAGAAGGGCTGCTGCCAAGCCACTCAGTGGTAATATTTATACAACGCTTACTTGGCTCAACATAAATTGTCAGAAACATGTGCTGGGCCTTTTACACAGTGACAGTGAAGATTTTTTTTTAAAACAAGTACTCAAAATTATATTGTTAACAAGCCAAAAGAGATGCAATGCCAAACAAAAGTTGAAACACATACAAAATGAACACTAGTGTACACTTAAAATGTGATGCACATTAATTAATGCTAAGTCAGAGGACATGGTGTTCGAGAAATGAATGGATTACTAGTGTCATCTTGTTGAAATGAAAAGCTGAACATTGAGATTACAAAGCCTAAGTGTTTCCATGTGCACAGTTACATTTGACATTTGATTGTCCATGTTGCAGTCAGAGCCCTGGCTTTCTTCAACATTTTTAAAAAAAAGTCAGTTTAACAAACTCCATCAGAATTTAGACATGCTGAATTCTGTCAACTAAGGTACTTTCAGTTGTTGGCATTACAAACGAAGTTTGGAGGGCTGAATCAACAACCCTCCAAGGCCAACACAACTTCCTCGAAGTCAAGGCAAAAACTGATCAGTGCACCTGATGAGATCTGACCTGGTCATTATATAATTGAATTATCACTTCCTCACTTCTGTATTTTAATCAGTTTGAGACAAAGCTCAAAATTTCATTAGCTTGTTCTTTGCCAAACCATATCCACACAAAAGCTTTAGGTGATCTCAGCACTAGAATTCCTAAACCTCTTTGCTGCTCAACAGCTCCCTTTTTTTCACCATTAAGAAAATATTCCAATTTGTCTCTATTTGATCCAAAATAGATTCTCATATTTTCCAACACTGACGTCTAACTGCAGAGTTCTGAAAAATTGGTTATCTAGCTCTCTATTTCTTCATGCTTAACATATATGAAATGCCAAAGACCAGGAGCAGACCCCTCTGAAGCCCAAATTAATACCTGCTAACTGGAGACAAATCTTTTCTCCCAACTCAATGTCTTCAATGTTATGATCAAGAACTGAAACAGATCACAAGACTTCCTTGAATTCCACATACTCATTTTTGCCCGTGATCTCAACTAAAATTTTAGTAAATGCCTAAAATACACTAAGAAAGCATTCATCAATTTGTCCCTATCCACCATGTTGATGATCTCAAAGAATTCACATGAAGCCTGGGGGCATTAGGGCAAAAGTTTCCACAGGATAGATTCATACTTAGCAGAAGGCAAATTAGTTGTAGTTGCTGGATGTCAAATTAACTCTGTCCAAGGAGTTCTTCAGGAAAGTGTCATAGGTAACTCTCAACTTTTTCAATGACCTTCCTTGATTTGCAAGATCAGGAGTGCTTACAAATGTTTGTGCAAACTTCAGCACCACTCATGAGCCTTCAAACAGACAGAGAAGTGTGCATCTGCAGCAAGACCTTTCCAGCATCTAGACTTGGACTGAAATGCGGCACATAAGATTCACACCACACAAGTGCCGGGCAATGAACATCTCCAACAAAAGAAGATTAACTATGTTCCCTCGACATTCAACAGCATCATAGTCACTACTAATGCTCTGGGGGTTATTATTGATCAGTAAATGACTGGACCAGCTATTAAATGTCCTGTGGTTACAACAGTAGGTCAGAGACTAGGAATTCTGTGGCAAGTAACTCAACTGTAACGAGATGCGAATCAGGAACATGAAGAAATACACTCCACTCATCTGGATTGGTGTACCTTCAGCAAAAATCAAGGAGCTCAATACCATTCAGGATAAAGCTGTTGAGAAAAATAAGGTAAACAGCATCTTGCACATCGAAATTTTATATCAATAAAATCTGGAATTAGAAATTGTTGACTGGCAGTCATGTTAAAAAAATGGGTTTTAAAAAAAAGACAGACATTCTAACAAACTATTTCTTCTCCCATATATCAGCATAATTCACAAGAAACAACGTGATCAGAAAACCAACATTTATATTGCACGAGAGGAAGATTGTGATTAGTTAACATGAGGACCCTGATTAGTAGAGGTGTTGCCACAGAGAATGCACACGTGAATGCCTTTTGACAATTAACTGTCAAACTAACCACTTTGTTTAGTCATAAAACCAGGCACTTGATGTTGATTTCTCAGGTCAATGCCCTGACCAATGAATCAATGAATAGCTGTCATCTATTGTGTTTAGTTGCAATAGCAGTGCATTTTAACATACATATTCTTCATTACTGGCAGACTGTCGCAACAGTGTGCACCATCTAACAAAGATTCACTGCACTAACTCACCCAGGCCCCTCCAACAGCTCCTTGCAAACCCGCAACCTCTGTCACTTAAAAAGGGCAGCAGTTGCATACGAGCACTACAACCTGCAAGTTCCCTTCAAAGCCATTGACCACATTGACTTGGAAGTATATCACTATTCCTTCATTTGCTGGGTCCAAATGCTGGAATTCCCATCCTATCAACATAGGGCGGGTCGAGTTTACCTATCCCCATGAACTCCAGTGGTTGAAGGTGGAAGCTCGCCATCGTCTTCTCCAGGCAAGTGAAGAAGGGCCATAAATGCTAACCTAGCCAGTGATGCCCACATCCCATGAAAGAAAATAAACTGTATTCAATTCTTATTTTCATTGATAGCATATCCATTATCAGTTACCGTTGGTTACTCTTTTACCCAAAATAATTGTAAAAATTGCGTTAATTTTGATGTCCCTTGCCAGCTGTTTTTTTTTATAGCTTTTTCTGCTGTGCATCCTTCGCTGTTCTTGTAGCAAGTGAAGGTGAAATTGAGGGTAAAAATAAATGGGTGCATAACATTGAGACATAGGCTTAGGGAAATGTGAAGAAAGTTAAAAGGTGGAGGATCATACTATCCGCCTCATTGACGTCATGGCGAAAAACAAACTTTATCCCAATCCTCCCAGCCTGATCATGATGACACTGGAGCATGGTGACTCCTTGTGAATTGTCTTAAATATCTTATAATCGTTCCGCTCTTTTAAAACTCAATTCTAAGTCTGTCAAAGTTACTAACAATGTTCTCTTAAATCTACTTGCAAGTTTGGGGATCCTCTGGTCGATGAAGCCCAGTTATCAATACTGGAATTGGGGACCATCGGGGCGGGAACAAAACCTGACCCCGTGGTGACCTAATATCGAGGAGGTCCAACTATATCAATTATAAGGCCCTCCGGAATGCTCAAGGCCATGACTGATGCCCAGGAGCACCCACTTACCTTCTGCAGCAGCAGATATCCCAACACCGGAGATCGAGCATACTGATTACAAGATTCCACCCCCCCCCAATCCCACAGTGTTCAAGGTTGCGACTGGTACTCAGGGTCCCATCAGAAGCACTCACACACCTTCCGGACCAGCAGACTTCCCTCACCAATGCCAGAGATCAACTAGGAGCAGCCATCTACCCAGGAAAAATGGGTGACGTGCTGGACTTCAGGTGAAACTGAAACCCCAAGGTTTCAAGAACACCCTCCCCAGCATTCTCCTGGCAAATGTCCAAGCCACTGAAAATAAAATGGATGAACTTAAAGCTAGATTGACCTTCCAAAGTTGAGGGACTGCTGTGGGCTCTGTTTCACAGAGACATGGCTCACCTCTGCTAAACCTGACTGTGCCTTGCAACCGGAGGGCTTCTCAATTCACCGAATGGACTGCTTGGCATCCTCGTGCTAGACAAAGGACAGTGGGCTCTGCATCCTAATCTATACCTCCTGGTGCTCAGACAGAGTGACCTTGGCAAGTAACTGCTGCCCGGACCTAGAATATTTAACAGTGAAATACCATCCATTCTACCTGCCTGCACGTTCACCTCCACTATCCTGACAGTAGTCTACGTCAACGCCGTGCAGAAGTGAAGAGTGCACTTGATGAAGTATATAACATTAGAAACAATCTTGACATGGAACACCCCGAAGTCTTGTTCATCGTCGCTGATGACTTCAACCAGGTCAACCACAAAAACGTGCTACCAGAATTCCACCAACACATCTATTCCACCAGACGTCCAAACGTCCTTGACCATTGCTACACAACCATAAAAGATGCCAACCACTCCACCTTCTGTCCGCATTTTGGAAAATCAGACCATAAAGCTGTGCTCCTCCTCCCAGCTTACAAGCAGGAATTGAAAAGTGAGGACCCAGTATGGAAAGTAGTGCAGTACGGATCCAAGCAAAATGAAGAGCTTCTACAGAACTGCTTAGAGTCGGTGCAAAACCGGCCCATATTCAAGGACTCAGCAGCCAACCTAAACAGGTATACCACTTCTGTTACAGGCTTCATTAGTAAGTGCGTAGAAACCGGTGTGCTGAAAACGTTAATGCCAACTCCCCCACCGTTTCCTCCCACAGTCCAAAGATGTGCAGGCTATGTGGATTGGCCATGCTAAATTGCCCGTAGTGTTCAGAGGTGTGTGGGATGCTCCAAGGGTCGGTGTGGACTTGTTGGGCCGAAGGGCCTGTTTCCACATTGTAGGGATTCTATGATTCTATGATTCAACCGGAAACTACGCATGAACCAGGAGATCTATTCCCTACTGAAGTCCACGTCGGAGACATTCAAGTCAGGCAACTCTGACCTATACAGGAAATCCAGGTATGACTTTTACAAGGTCATCAGGGATGCCGAAAGGCAATGCCAAACTAAGTTAGAGACCCAGACTAACCACATGGACACCCATCGTTAGTGGCAAGGTTTACACGACATTAACAGGCTACAAAGGAAAGTCAAACAGAATTGCAGGCAACAGTACGTCCCTACCCGATGAGTGTAGAATGCATTATACGCTCACTTTGAACAGGTCAGTGAAACAATATCACCTATCCCATCAGCCTCGGATACATCTGTACCAGACTGCTTTTAGATCAGGTTTCTTAAGAGTGAACCCATGGAATGGAGGCCCCAGCCATGCACTCAGTGTGCAGACCAGCTGGGGGAAGTATTCGCAGACATCTTCAACCTCTCCTTGCTATGATCTGAAGTCCCCACCTGCTTCAAAAAGGCCACCATCATCCCTGCAAAAGAAAAATCATGCAGCATGCATCCTGATCCACCCGGTGTCTCTGACATCCATAATTATGAAGTGCTTTGAAAGGTTGGTCATGGCTCACATCAACTCCAGCCTCCCAGACTGCCTTAATTCCTTACAATTGACCGAACAGCACAAAAGGTCCATGGCAGATGCTATCTCCCTGGCCCTGCACTCATCCATATAACATCTCGACAACAAGAATACCTACTTCAGGCTCCCACTTATTGATACAGTTCTGCCTTCAACACCATAATTCATAACAAAATGATCTCCAAATTCTGAGACATGGGTCTGCTCCCCCAGCGGTAAGTGGATTCTTGACTTCCTAACCAACAGACCGCAGACAGTAAGGATGGGTGATAAAACCTCCTCCATGATTATCTTCAACACCGGAGCCCCACAAGACTGTGTACTCAGCCCCCGACTATACTCCTTATACATACACGATTGCGTGGCTAAAGTCTATACCAACTCCATTTACAAGTTTGTTGACAACACCACTGTTGTAGTTCGGATCTCAAACAATGACAAGACAGACTATGGGAAGGAGATACAATGTTTAACAGCATGGTGTAAAGGCAACAATCTCTCCAAAGTCAGAACTCAAGCAGGGAATTAGGAGAGTAAGGAAGGGCCACGAAATGACCTTGGCAAGTACGGTTAAAGAAAATCCCAAGACATTCTATACATACATTAAAAACAAGAGGATAACTAGAGAGGGGGATGGGCCACTCAAGGATAAGAGGGAACTTGTGCTTGGAGGCAGAGGATGTGGGCAAGATCCCAAATGAGTGCTCTGGGATCTTGAGTACAAGGAGAAGGACATGGAGGATAGTGATTTGAGTGTGGAGCATGCTAATATGCTTTGAGGCATTTTGAAATCAAGAAAGAAGCTCTTGGGTCTCGAAGAGCATTACGGTGGATACATTCCTGGGCTATTGAGAGAGGCAAGGGAGGAGACTGCTGGAGCCTTGACCAAGATCTTGGTATCCTCGCTAGCCACTGGAGAGGTCCCGAAGGACTGGCAAGTAGCTAATGTTGTTCCTCTGTTCAAGAAGGGAAAGAGAGACATTCCAGGAAATGAGAGTCTGGCGAATCTCACATCGATAACTGGGAAGCTATTGGAGAGAATTCTTAGCGATACCATTTATGCACATTTGGAAAAGCATGGCCTAATTAGGGACAGTCAGCATGGCTCTCCACGGGGCAGTTCATATCTTACTGATTTGATTGAATTTTTCAAGGTGGTGATAAAGGTGATCAACGAGGGTCGAGCACTGGATGTTGTCTGCGTGGATTTTAGTAACAGACAACAGTGTGGAGCTGGAGGAACACAAAAGGCTAGGCAGCATCAGAGGAGCAGGAAAGTTGACGTTGAGTCGGCACATTTCTTCAGAAATGTGGAGGGGGAAGGGAGCTTAGAAATAAAGGGAGGGGAGATGTGGGGCTGGGGAAGGTGATAGGTGAATGCAGGTAGGGAGTGGTGGGGATTGGTCAGTGGGATGGGTGGGGCAGACAAATGGGAGAGATGATGGACAGGTTGTGTCAGGTCAAGGAGGCCAGGATGAGAGGGAGGGTACTTTAAAACTGGTAAATTCCACGTTTAGGCCATTGGGTTGCAGGCTCCCGAGGCGGAATATATG